ACTTGGAAGGCTGAGGCGGAAGGATCGCCGGAGCCCAGAAGGTTGAGGCTGCGGTGGCTGTGAGCGTGTCAGTGCACTCCAGCCTGGGCGACAGAGTGAGATTCCAACTCAAAAAAAAAGCAATCTCTACTCTGCCTACTCCTGAGGACTGTGACTCCCAAAAGAGCAGATGACCGCTGGGTGCAGTGGCTTACACCTATAATCCCAGCACTTTGGGAGGCCGAGGTGAGAGGATTGCCTGAGCCCACGGATTTGAGACCAGCCTGGACAACTTGGCAAGACCTCATCTCTACAATAAATCAAAAAATAAGCTGGGCATGGTAGCTCAAGCCTATAATTCCAGCATTTTGGGAGGCCAAGGTGAGAGGATTGCCTGAGCTTGGGGGTTTGAGACTGGGGAACTTGGTGAGACCTTGTCTCTACAATAAATCAAAAAATTAGCCACATGTGGTGGTGTGTGCCTGTATTTCCAGCTACTTGGAAGGCTGAGGCTGAAGGATCACCTGAGTCCTGCAGGTCGAGGCTGCTGTGGCCGTGAGCATGCCACTGCACTCCAGCCTGGGCAACAGAGTGAGACTCCGACTCCAAAAAAAAAGCAGAGAACTGTCCCACTAGCCCCCACAGGTCCCAGTCAGGGAAGGGGCTGGTGGCTTTGCTGGGGGGAGAGAGGGCCTCTTGGCTGAGGCTCGTGGCCTTGTTGGAGCAGGAGCCCTGACTGGCTTCCTTGCCTTGTGCAGCCCTGATCGAGTCCCTCAACCAGAAACCACAGACTTCCGGTGACCAGCCCCAACCCACAGATGCAACCCATGCCACCCATAGGAAAGCAGGTGGGACCGATGTCCCCTCGGCCAACGGTGAAGCTGGAGGAGGAGAGAGCGCCAAAGGCTATACTGCAGAACAAGTCGCAGCTGTGAAAAGGTAATGGCCAAGCTGGGTGGGCGGGGTGGAGCCTTCGGGAGTCAGGGCATCTAGAGAAGGCTTCCTGCCCCGTGTCCCTCACCTCACTTCTGGTGGGCTAGGTGGGGCCCTGGGAAGATTTTGCAGGGCGGAGAGGTCCAATGGCTGGGCTCACCAGGATCACTCTGTATTTCTCAAAAGGCCCAGGAACACACGGGAGGCAGGTTCCGATGCCCCTTCCACCAAGACAACCGGCAGCAGAGGCTGGAAACTGACACCCCGGCTTCCCCTGCCACTGGCCAGGCGGGCCCCAGGCTCTTTACGTAACTGTCAAGGAGAGGGAGCTTGGTCTCCCCCTCCAGATTCTCCCCCCTCCCACACCCCGGCCCCCAGCAAAGACCCATTCAGACCAGAGCCTGCGGGGCTAGAGTGGTGACGGAAGGCCGAGTGATCCCTCCAGGACTGTGGGCAGACCCCGCTGCGAGCAGCTGGCTGCCAGGCCTGAGACCATCCAGCTGAGGCTTCTCAGGACTGGATGCTCCAGCTCTCACTTTTCCCAGGCCTCCCACGAGGGGTGGCCTGTGTGTGACTGAGCTTGCCTGTGGTTCGCCATAAAAGCATAGTCCAGATTCACACTGCTCAGACCAGGCAGGGTTTTGACCAGAAAAGCCTGTCATTTCAGGGGTTGGGAAGACCTAGAAAAGGTCAAGAACCAGGTCTCCAGGGACCCAGAGAGGAAGACTTGGGGAAGGGTCTCATCGGGGCCTTGTAGTTGGGGTGAACAAACACCGGCCATTTCCAGCCTCTGTGTTACCCACCTAAGACTCAGATTGCTGGGAGAGTATGGCTGGCTGAACTTGGGACACACCTGCGCTCGGCCAGTAGGCGCAACAATCCTGAGGTTGCCTCTAGGGAGGGAGCTGTTAGCAGAAGGGAGATGGGCACTGGCCTGGCTACAAACAGCAGCTGCCCCTCCTCAGTCTGGAATGTATTCTTGGCATTTCCAGTAGACCCTGCCCAGCTCCCCATGACGGTTCCAGCTCGCCCTAGAGGAGCTGTCAGCCATGCCCTGCCAGTCCCCCTGCAGCTTGCTCAGAGCTGTGTGCCCTGCGCTGCTCGTTGCTCACCCAGCTCCACACAGCCCTGGCCCACGTAGAGCACGCCCTCCTCCCTCCCCAGGGTCAAGCAATGTAAAGATTACTATGAGATCCTGGGGGTAAGCAGAGGGGCCTCGGATGAGGACCTGAAGAAGGCCTACCGCAAATTGGCCCTCAGATTCCACCCAGACAAGAACCACGCGCCTGGTGCCACTGAAGCTTTCAAAGGTAAGCCGCCCTGGTTTCCCGGCATTTTGGTGTTCTTATCTCCATGGGAGGGAGTAAGGGGCCAAGGCAGCTTTCCCAGCAAGTGAGGCGGAAGGAAGTGGTCTCAGGCCCAGGAGCTGCTTCCTGGGAAGAAGGTTCTAGCGGCCACTTCCAGCCATGGAGAGTCTTTCAGGGCTCAGGGCCACTCCTGCCTGCGCTTCCTCATTCCCCGGGGTTACCGGAGGGATGCTGAGGCGAGAGAGTTCCACGGCTTCTCCAAGGCTGCGTGGGGAGTGGGTGACTCACCTGTGTGCTCTTCCCCACCTTGGCATCTTGTAACTGTCCATTAGGGTAATCACTGGTCAGGGCCTCTAGCCTGGTGGCCACCTCAGTACCAATAGCCACAGCTATCCTGAGGCCTGCGGCGAGAAGACATGATGGTCTCTCTGGCCCCACGGCTCATTGGTTCTGGCTCGGGTGCTTCATTTCTGCCAGGCGTAAGCTGCCCTTTATTCATTTATCTTTTTGCTTAGCTTGTCGGGCACTCACGTGTGCTGACTCTGCCAGCACTGTGTTATGAGCGCTGCAGTTTCTTATTCCCTCAGACATCTCTCATTTCCTTTTTTCTCCCTCTTTGGGAGATGACGTGGTGACTAGCCTCACCAAGCCTGGGCAGTTGCTGTCCAATGCTGGGGCCATGACCATGGCTAGGTGGAGAGCCCGTGGCAGAGCTGACCCCAAGACGGGGTGCACTGTCTCCCAGGGACCTGCCCAGAGGGAGGAGGAGAATGGCAGTGGGGGTCAAAGTAGCCCTGGCGAACACTTCTTCAGCCCTGACCTCTGCCTGCAGCCTGCCTGACAGGTACTGAGAGGCCAGCACCGGCCTTGGGGCCTTGTCAGCATAGGAGGAGGAAGGGATTCCGCCCCCAGTATTCCCAGGGCTTGCAGGTTGTGAAGCAGATCCAGCTTTGCCCCGCTTCTCGGAGAGAGTGGGCAGCTTGAGAAGGAGCGAGAGGCTGAAGAGGCCCAGAGCTGGGGTCCTATAGGGCACCGGCTTCCCGCCCAGGCCCAGGTGGGAAGCAGCAGCTGAGGCCTGGGCCTGGGGAGGGAGGACTCACCTGGCCGTATCACCCGCGGTGGAAGAGTCTAGAACCTCGGGATTTGGCTCTTCCCTGCAGGTCCTGCTGTTTTTCCATGTACAGCAAGGACATGGTATGTCCCTGTGGCCTCTGGTGCTTCAAGATTATATAACCTCCAGAAAGGGATACCCCATTCCATTGGGTACCTCAAGAGAGGAAGGAGGAAAGAGGTTCTTGGTGGTTTTCATAAAGTCAGAAAATGTGAAGCAAGACACCCCTGGGTTCGACTCCCCTGCTTTGTGGTATCAGAGCTGCGTAATCTCAGGCAGGTCACTTCACTTCTCTCACTGGTAAAATGGAGGGAGATAGGCCGCTGTTGGGAGTAGGTGAGATGACGTCCCCAAGGGGCCTGGCGCATAGAAAAACCCAGCCAGCCCAGGCTGCCCAGATTCGCTTAAGGGCCTTCCTGCATGCCCCCTCTCCCCACACTTGCCCAGCAGCCAAGTCTGCCGGCCCCAAGGACCCCTGCTCCCTAAAGCACCGCTTGCGTGCCTGAGAGAAGTGAGCACTTGGCTGTGGGCCTCCACCCGACCCAGCTTCCTCAGCCTGACCTTCCACCTCCTCTCCAGCCATCGGCACAGCATACGCGGTACTCAGCAATCCGGAGAAAAGGAAGCAGTATGACCAGTTCGGTGATGACAAGAGCCAGGCAGCCCGGCACGGCCACGGGCATGGGGACTTCCACCGTGGCTTTGAGGCGGACATCTCCCCGGAAGACCTCTTCAACATGTTCTTTGGGGGCGGCTTCCCTTCTAGTAAGTTCCCCACCCTCCCCACTGCAGGTCTCCCTAGGAGTGATGACGGGGGCTGCAGGCCAGCCTCTCCCCTCCCCAGCAGCCCCAGCTCCTGACTCAGTCCCTCTGACCTCCAGGTAACGTCCACGTCTACAGCAACGGCCGCATGCGCTACACCTACCAGCAAAGGCAGGACCGCAGAGAGAACCAGGGTGACGTGAGTGAGGAGGGCGCCTGGGAGAGCAGGGGGAGGGGTGCGGGGCCTGGAGGTGGGAGTTACGTCCCACGCTGTCCATGCTGGGACCAGCGGATCCCCCTACAACCTTTAGCCAAGAAGCCATTGGGCCGCCCCTTGCCATTCTGCTGAGCGACACCAGAGGGAGCCATACTCCGCATTGCCCACAGGCCTGGGGCTCTGAAGGCTTCTGCTGGGGAAAGTAACGCAGAAACTCCACCTACAGCCGGGTTCGAGCTTGAATGACTTTTGTGCAGTCCATTCTAAGGCTAAAGTGACATTTTCCAAGCAGTGGAAAGTTAAACTTGGCGACAGGATTGTAAAGGATGAGAGCATATTGCCAACTCTTTTTTTTTGAGTTGGAGTCTCAATTTCGTCACCCGGGCTGGAGTGCAGTGGCACACTCAAGGCCACCCAGCGTCAACCTGCTGGGCTCCAGAGATCCTTCTGCCTCAGCCTTCCAAGTAGCTGGAACCACAGGCGAGTGCTACCATGCCTGGCTAATTTTTTTTTTTTTTTTAAATTGTAGAGACAAGGTCTCACCAAGCTGCCCAGGCTGATCTCAAACCTCTGGGCTCAGGCAGTCCTCTCACCTCGCCCTCCCAAAGTGCTGGGATTACAGGCTTGAGCCACCCAACACGACTGCCAACTCTTCTTGATTTTCAGCACTCACAAAAAAATATATACAAAAACTATGACTAGATAATGCTTCAAACACATCTTGTGTGCCATGGATAAAAGAACAGCTAGCATTTGAAATTTTGGCAGGTTAACTCTGTTTCCTTTGGCTCTGATGATGTGTGTTCATTTTTTTGTTGTTGTTGTTTGTTTTTTGAGTTGAAGTCTCTCTCTATTGCCCAGGCTGGAGGGCAGTGGCACACTCATGGCCACCACAGCCTCAACCTGCTGGGCTCAGGCAGGCCTTCCTCCTCAGCCTTCCAAGTAGCTGGAACTACGGGCATGCGCCACCATGCCTGACTATGTTCCTATTTTTTCACTTTTATTTTGTATTTAACGTACAGAAGAGTTTTGTTTTGTTTTGTTGAATTGGAGTCTCACTCTGTCACCTAGGCTGGAGTGTAGTTGCACACTCATGGCCACTGCACCCTCGACCTGCTAGGTTCAGGTGATCTTTCTGCCTCAGCCTTCCAGGTAGCTGGAACCACAGGCATGCACCACCATTCCCAGCTAATTTTTTGAGTTATTATAGAGACAAGGTCTCACCATATTGTTCAGGCTGGTCTCGAACTCCTTGAGCTCAGGTAATCCTCTCACCTCTACCTCTCAAAGTGCTGGGATTATAGACTTGAGTCACCGCACCCAGCTCAGAAGATATATATATATATATATATATATATATATATATGTATATATTTTTTTTAAGTAGGATTGTCACTCTGTCCCTCAGGCTAGAGTGCAATGGCATGTTCATAGCCACTGCAGCCCTGACTTGCTGGGCTCAAGCCATCCTTCCACTTCAGCCTTCCAAGAAGTTGAAACAGGCATGTGCCACCATGCCCAGCTAATTTTTGTTTGTTTGTTTTTGTTTTTTGAGTTCAGAGTCTCACTCTGTTGCCCTGGCTAGAGTGCAATGGCACGCTCACAGCCACCGCAGCCTCGACGTGGACTCTGGCAATCCTTCCACCTTAGTCTTCCAAGTAACCAGAACTGCAGGTGTGTGTCACCATGCCTGTGTAATTTTTAAAAATTTATTGTAGAGACGAGGTCTTGCCAAGTTGCCCAGGCTGGTCGCGAACTCATGGGCTCAGGCAGTCCTCTCTCCTCTGCCTCCCAAAGTGCTAGGATTACAGGCTTGAGCCACTGTGCCCGGCCTAAAAGAGTTTTTAAAACCATAAATTATCACACGGTGAATACACTTATTAATTTTTATTTCTAATTTGTTTTTGTTTTGTTTTGTTTTGTTTTTGAGTTGGGGTCTCAGTCTGTTGTCCAGGATGGAGTGCAATGGTATAATCATGGCTCACTGCAGCCTCAACCTCCTGGGCTTGGGTGATCCTTCTACCTCAGCTTCCTGAGTAACTGAGACTACAGGTGTGTACTACCACACCCAGCTAATTTTTTCATTTTTTGTAGAGATGAGATCACACTATGTTACCTAAGCTGATCTCAAACTCCTGGATTGAAGCAGTCCTCCCACCTCAGCCTCCCAAAGTGCTGGAACTATCTCTAATTTTTTTTCTTTTTTTGTTTTTTCTATAACCCGGATCCAATGCTAATATTCTGAATTTTAGTCAGTAAATTTTAAATTGGTCAGATACTTGTGTGGTTCAAGATTCAAAAAGGTGTATATATAGTGAAAGTCTTCATTCTCCTGGAAACATCAACTTCTGCTGGTTTTTTGGTATTCTCTCCTAAGTAACTATAGATACTTACCTCTCTCTTGTATTTTACATCGATTGCTGCTTTGTTTTTGACTGGGAAAGCTGGCAGGAGGAGCTTCTGTATTTTGGGGCCTATGGGGTAATGGCAGAGTGTGGTGTGATGGCTGACCAGGCTCCATTGTACTAGGGGAGCTGGTGGTGACCGGGGCAGATGCCACACCCCAGGTGGGTCCAGCTGGGTGACCGTTGGCTCTTCCCTCCAGGGCGGGCTAGGAGTATTCGTCCAGCTGATGCCCATCCTCATCCTGATCCTCGTGTCAGCCCTCAGTCAGCTCATGGTCTCCAGTCCACCCTACAGTCTGAGCCCAAGACCGTGAGTACCTGCAGCTGGGGGTGAGGCCAGCCATGGGCAGACAAGGGGCCTTGGGGTCTCAGCCTCCCCCCCAGGGCCTTCCTGCCCATCTGGATCTAGCTGGTTCTCGATCACAATGCAGAAAGCATTAGAATCCAGAAAATAGGCCAGACGTGGTGGCTCATGCCTGTAATCCCAGCATTTTGGGAGGCCAATGTGAGAGGACTGCCTGAGCCCACAGGTTTGAGACCAGCCTGGGCAACTTAGTGAGACCTCGTCTTTACAATAAAAATCAAAGAAAGGCCAGGCTTGATGACTCAGCCTGTAATCCCAGCGCTTTGGGAGGCCAAGGTGAGGGATTGCCTGAACCCGTGGGTTCAAGACCAGCCCAGGCAACTTGGCAAGACCTCGTCTCTACAATAAATGAAAAAAATTAGCCAGGTGTGGTAGCACGCGCCTATAGTTGTGGCTACTCGGAAGGCTGAGGCGGAAGGATCACCGGAGCCCAGCAGGTCAACACTGGGGTCGCCGTGAGCCTGCATGCCACTGCACTCCAACCTGGGCGATGGAGTGAGACTCCCAACTCAAAAAAAAAAAAAAGAAAGAAAGAAAGAAAGAAAGAAAGAAAGAAAAAAAATCAAAAAAATTAGCCAGGCATGGTGGTGCATACCTGTAGTTCCAGCTACTTGGAAGGCTGAGTTGGAAGAATCGCCTGAGCCCTGCAGGTCAAGGCTGCAGTTGCTGTTGCTGTGAGCATGCCACTGCACTCCAGCCTGGGTGACAGAGTGAGACTTTGATTCAAAAAAAAGTGGGGGAGGGGTTTGAGGTCTCAGTTCTTCCCCCGAGGGGCCTTCCTTCCCATCTGAATCCAGCTGGTTCTCGATCACATTGCAGAAAGCTGACTTAAAATCCAGAAAATATCGGTAATCTCTGTTGAGCTGAAGTGCTTGAAGCTTTTTAGGATCATAGTCCCCTAAGAAATTGCAGTGAGCCGGGCTCGGTGGCTCAGCCTGTAATCTCGCACCTTTGGGAGGCTGAGGTGAGTGGATTGCCTGAGCCCGCGGGTTCGAGACCTGCCTGGGCAGCGAGACCTCATCTCTACAATAAATCAAAAAAGCCGGGCGTGGTAGCGCATGCCTGTAATTCCAGCTACTTGGAAGGCTGAGGTGGAAGGGGATTGCTGGAGCCCAGCAGGTCTAGGCTATGGTGGCCGGGTGCGGCCACTGCACTCCAGTCTGGGCGACAGAGTGAGACTCCAACTTAAAAAAAAAAGAAAAGAAATTGCAGTGAAAGCTACAGACCTTTTCCCTAGAGCAGTGCGCACATGCAGTTTTGCATATGACTTCAGAGGCTTCATGACTTGCTCCCAGCCCCATGTTCTCTGCTGACCCTGAAATATGAACTTCTGCACTTCAGTTCTAGTTGAGGTCCCTGCGACCATGGAAAAAATGGAGGCTCTAGAATCAGACAACAAGAGTGGCTTTGAATCTCAGCTTCACTAAGAAGCCATGTGGCCTGGGCTCGGTGGCTGAGCCTATAATCCCAGCACTTTGGGAGGCCGAGGCAATTGGATTGCCTGAGTCCACGGGTTCGAGACCAGCCCAGGCAACTTGGCGAGACCTCTTCTCTACAATAAATCAAAAATTAACTGAGTGTGGTAGCACACACCTATAGTTCTGGCTACTTGGAAAGCTGAGGCGGAAGGCTCTCTGGAGCCCAGCGGGTCAAAGCAGGAGTGACCGTAGGTCAAAGCAGGAGTGACCGTAGGTCAAAGCAGGAGTGACCGTGAGCATGCCTCTGCACTCCAGCCTGAGCGGCAGAGTGAGACTCTGACTCAAAAAAAAAAAAAAAAAAAAAAAAAGAAGTCATGTGAACTTAGACAAGTTATACAACTGCGGTTTCCTCATCTATAACACGGGAATAAGCCAGGCTCGGTGGCTCAGCCTGTAATCCCGCACCTTTGGGAGGCTGAGGTGAGTGAATTGCCTGAGCCCGCGGGTTCGAGACCCGCCTGGGCACCAAGACCTCATCTCTACAATAAATCAAAAAATCAGCCGGGCGTGGTGGCACATGCCTGTAATTCCGGCTACTCGGAAGGCTGAAGCGGAAGGATCGCCGGAGCCCAGCAGTCGAGGCTGCGGTGGCCGGGAGCGGCCACTGCACTCCAGTCTGGGCGACAGAGTGAGACTCCAACTCAAAAATAAATAAATAAATAAAACGGGAATAACAACATCCACCCGCCTGTGAAATTCGTAAGTGTTACATATAAAATGTCTAGCCCATTAGAAATACTCGACAATATTTGTTGGACGAATACTTCGTCTTGTAGTGAAGTTGAGCAAGTTACGTGACCCTTACGGTGTCGGCACCCCTCGCTGATTTCCTGGAACAGAATCTGTGCATAGGGGATGCTCCACTTCTTTGGGGGACGCCCTCTGCTCTCTCCAAGTGCCTGGCAGGATCCTTCTCATCCAGCAGGGGGCAGCGTTGGTCCACTGGACCCACAGCAGCTGCCTCAGGCTCTGTGGCCTGATGCCAACTCTTCTCCCTGCAGCTGGGGAGATTAGAGGCAGCAGAGGGGTGAGGCAGGGGCTGTCCTCCCCGCGGCACTGACTCCTGTCTGGGTGGTGAGGCTCTTCCCACAGCCTGCAGGGCCTGTGATTGGAGGCCCTTGGAAACCTTCCTGCCCCTTTGTTCCTAAGCCTCGTAGTTCTAGGCTGGGAACTCCTGGATAGGCAGGCAACGATTGGCTTAAGGGATAAAGGGGGAAGTGGAGGCACAGAAGTTAGACCAGGGCCTCTCCTCAAGGGCCCACAGGTCAACCATGTGATAAGCAGAGTTTAGAAGAAGGGCTTGCCATAGTCTGGGCACCTTGTGCAGGAGGGACACTCTGGCTTTTCTTCAGACTTGCATGTTGGTAAGTGTGTGAATTCCTCTCTAGTTTGGGAGTGAACAGCCGTTCCTGTGGCCTGTGTGGCCCCTCCTGTCATAGGGTCCCAGCTTCCCTAGAGCTGCCCCTGGCTTGGGGACCCCTGCCCACCTTGTGCCTGGTGTATTTCTGGCCAGGTCCGTGGGCCACATCAACAAGCGAGTCACTGACCACCTGAGCGTCGTCTACTACGTGGCAGACACCTTCTCTGAGGAGTACACAGGTTCCAGCCTCAAAGCAGTTGAACGGAATGTGGAAGATGATTACATTGCCAACCTCCGAAACAATTGTTGGAAGGAAAAGCAGCAGAGTGAGTGTGTGTGTGTGTGTGTGTGTGTGTGTGTGTGTGTGTTTGGGGAGGTGGCCGGTACCGCTTGAGAGCAAGAAAGGAGAACACCCAACTCACCCAGTCCTTTGAGGGCCCAGCACCTGGCACTGCCCTCCTAGCCAAGAGCCGGACTCCATTCCTGTTTCCCTGGGCCTGGGAGCCAGGGCCACCTGGTGATTTCCTTCAGGTTCCCATAACTCACTGCACTCTACCTGTCGTTTTGGCTGCTGGAAATGAGTGTGTAGTGATAGGCTGGAGTAGTTCTGGCTGCCCACAGATTGTACACCCGGGTCTATTTGTGGGACCCTGTGGCGTCTGCCCAGGATGACAGGTTCTCATGTTAGCTGCTATCGCTGCACTCCACAGAGAGGGCCCTCTGTCATCCCTCTCCCATGTTAGGACCATAGTCTTTGCTCTTCCAGGGTCTTCCCTAATGGGAGGCCAGCTCTGTCCAAGCTCCTGGGCCTGTGGCAGCCTTTCTCCTTCCTTGCAGGCCCAGGCAGACTCCTTCGGGAGGTAGTGGGTGTGCCCTAACTCTGTCCCATTGCTTTGCAGAGGAAGGCTTGCTGTACCGGGCCCGCTACTTTGGCGACACAGATATGTACCACAAAGCACAGAAGATGAGCACCCCCAGCTGTAGCCGACTGTCAGAGGTGCAGGCCTCCCTGCATGGATAGTCCTGGGCCAGCCACGCCACCGAGGTCCAAGTATGAGCCAGGGCTGCCTCCACCCTGCAACTCCTGGCAGCTTTGACCCCGGTCATGAGGCAGAGGAGGGAGAGAAGGAGAAGGGGAGGAAGCCTGGTGATTGTGGCAAAGACTTCTGTCCCCAGCCCGACATCCAGCCTCCAGAGACAGGGCAGCTCTGGGCCTGCTCGGAAACAGATCTGTTTCACCCTCTGGCAGTACTCTCCACCCACCACTCCACTCCCTGACTCTGGAGCTGTGGGGTACCTAAGAGCCAGGCAGAGTGGGAACCCAGAGCCGTTGTGAGGGCCGCTCGTGACTCCGTGGTCTACTCACGCCCTTTCCCAAGCACAGCAGACTGTTGACCGTGCCCTGTTTTTAGGCCACCAATTATTACTGGGCCCAAGATAGCTCACACACACACTGCCCGCCCGGTACCAGGAAGAACCCTTTGTGGGCAGGGGCACAAGAGTCTCCTCTTCCTCTGTCCTCCCAGGCCGAGCCAGATGATCGGGCAGCCCGGCAGTGGGCGGGAGCTGACAGGCTCAGTGGCAGGAGAGGCCTGTGTGCCCTGACCGCCCCCTCTGGTGGGAGCTGAGGCACTCTCTCCAGTGCTGCTGCACCTGGCAGCCTGGAAGCCACAGGCATCCGGCCCTGCTCAAGCATCTCGCCTGCGGGCTGAGGAAGGGAACAGAAGGTCATGAGTTCAGGGTCAGATGCAGCCGCTCAGCACAAAAGGGGTGGGGACATGAAAGCTGCTGGTGGCAGCTCCCTGTCTCCCCTGGCCCTGTATGAGGGGCAGCCGCTCTGTTCCGGCACTTGGCCAGGGGGCAGCTTGGACCAAGCCCAGGGGAGTGTGGGCAGAACCAGTAAAGGTTCTTTTCTGTGTTGGTGCCCTGCCCACCCCCTCCTTTCCCTGTATCCTCCCGGCCTGGGTCCAGCTGCAGACTCTGCCCGAGGCCATTTGCTCCTGCCTCCAGCAGCAGACTGCCGGAGGGGGCCCGGGCGGGGCAGGGTGCCAGCACAGGGCAGGGAGGGCCCTGGTGTGTGTGGGATCGAGGCCGCGTGACTACCAGCTAACTGTTGCCGCTCTCCTCCCCAGACTATGAAATCCCTGGAGAACTTTTGGTGACATGCACTGAGCCAAGGTGATGGACTGTATATTTAAGGAAAGACAAAAAACATTAAAATGGAATTGGAGGCCGAACGCCGCACAACCGCCCTCTCTCTCACCCAGTACATGCAGAAAGCTCTTAGGACAGAAAGCCTGCCACGGGGCTGCTTCCCTCCCTCCCTCCCAGGGCTGGCAGAGGCTGCTCATCGGCTCTCTCCTAGGATACAGAAACCATGGCAACGAAAGTAGAATGTAAAACTTGCAGCAAGTATCTGTGGGAAGGGCTGGGGGAGGGGGGCGCCCAACTGCCTTTCCTCCCCCTCCCAGGAGCCACCAGCGGTCACCTCTCAGGAGAAGCCAGAGGCAGTGGCCAAGGATAGCGAGGAGAAGAAAGAGAAATCCACAGAATATAATTTATAGATGCGTGTGTATGTATATATATCTATTTATATGTAAATAGGCATATATAAAGATATATATATGTATATATATATAGTCTACTTTTTAAACTATGCAGGGATTTGGTTAAGTTGTTCAGCTGATTCTCTCCATGTTTTAGAAAATAAGGCCTACTTGAGGAAAGCGTCTAGTCCTTCAAAAGCTAGATGTCAGCCATAGCTGACAGCATGAGGAAGGTCAGGTCATGTGCTTTTGACGCCCCCCGAAACCCTAGCCTGTTTTTGATGGCAGCAGTAATCATGATAGTATAAACCCATGAAGGGCGCCAGGTTTATGGCTAAGCCGAAGAGGGGAAAGGTGGTGGGGGGGCGGGGTACCGGATCAGTGTTGAGTCTTGGTAGAAGCCCCAGACAGGACCTGCTCGAGTGAGACCACCCGTCTCAAGCTACCCCTTCCCCTCTGGCCAGCTCTGGCAGGCCCTTCGCCATGGTGCCCAGAAGCCCTCCAGCCCCTGTCCACGGAATGGCAGGCCTCGGATGGGGGCCAGGTTCTGCCTAACCACTTCTCTCCCCCAAGTCCCTAGGTGGGTTTTGCCTTCCAGGTGCCACAGGTCCCAGCTCCATCATTGCCACTGGTTTTTCCTAAGTCGTGCATCAAGGACTCCAGAAGGCGCTTCCTCCAAGAGTCAGCCAGTGGTGCCCGGGACCCCAGGGCAGCAGCCCCGACTCCTGAAGAAAAGTTGATGCCGGTGGGCACTTCTGTCTGCACCTCTGTGGACGTGACTCCAGCAGGCCTCCTCTTGCACTTTGGACAAAGGATACCCCTGAACCAGAATAATTTTCTTACCCTCACCTTCAAATGAGGATTTTTCTCAAATCAGCAGCTGCTGCCAGGGGAAGGAAGGAAGGTCTTACTTATTTCCACAGTTTCTACTGGGCCTTTCGGAATTACCACTTTTCCCGAGTTTTCCTGGGGCGGTGGGCGTGTCACTGAGCCTGCCACCTTGCAAAGCCTTACTTCCCCACGCTGCCAGCCAGGAGGTGATAACTACCCTCCCCAAGTTTCTCTTGGCTCTTTTTTAAAAAGTCCCCCAACAGATAGAGTCTTGCTGGGAAAGGAAGTTCGGTAAGGAAATGTCAAATCTGGTTTTTAAACAAGGTCCCACCCTGCAATGAAGCGGCCACCTCAGCCCAGAGAGGTCATAACTGGACGCGGGCCCGAGTGCCTGCCCGCGGTGGCCCTGGTGCTCTGCCCCACCACCCTGACCATCCGATCTCGGTAGATCTCCCTGGATGGGCTGAGCCATGTGCAATAAGAACACAGATCCCGAGGGATCCCCAAGAAGCTGTATTTCTTGAATTAGGATTCTGAAATTGTACATCTATAAATATACGTTTATTATGTGATTGGCTGTGTCAGGTCTGCATTGAGCAGGGAGGCCAAGGTGGGGACCCAGCACCTGTTGCTACTGACGCCGCAGCCCGTGCCACGGGCGCTCTTGGTGACAAGCCTGGATGTTCTCACCCTTGGCCTCGGCCGACGGCCACTCGGGTCCCAAGTGCTACTCCAGCACTGACTCCAGACGGGGGCTCAGGTGGCTGGGGGGCAGGACCCGAGCAGGCCAGGACCCTGGGTTCCCTGACGCCAGTCATGGTGGACACCTGGCCACAACCCCGCCCTCCACCCCGCGACTTCCCTGCAGGCTGCCTCGTGCCTGAGCAAGACACTCAGCTCCCGGCCAGGCCTGCATCCAGGCCTGGGAAAAGTTCCCCGGGTTTGTTTCCACCTCTGGCCGCAGTCCTTCCCGCCATCCTCCCCACACCGCCCCACAGCCCGCCCTTCTCCCCAGGGGGTCGGAAAAGTTAAAAATGTGGCAGCCCCAGTCAGCCGGGCTCCCGGTGAGTGGAGCAGCAGATCTGCCAGGCCTCCCGGAGACAGGGCCCGGCGGTCCTGACTGGCGGGCTGAGGCCCCCCCCCGCCGCTGCCCCAGCCAAAGACAGGCGGGCTGCCCGGTGGTGCCACTGCAGCCCGGGAGCTCATTGGCTGCCCCCGCCCGGGGTCACCGCAGCCAGCCCCGGTCTGCCACTTGTTAGCTGCGGTGGGCAGAGGCGTTGCCGGCGCCCCCCACTTGCCACCGCATCCCCCTGCCCTCACTGCACAGCTCGGTGAAGAGCCAGACAGGGTGGGACACACTCTTGACTGCAGAACAAAAAAAAAGGCTTTGACAAGTAACCTCCACCCACTGTCAGGTGGCAAAACAAGGCACCAACCCAAGCTGCCAGGATCTGCCAGCTTATCTCCTTGTCCCATGCTGCTCCCAGCTCTAGAACAAACACCGCTCTGAGGGGCAGAGAGCTCACACCCCGACCTGACTGCAGACCTGACCGCAGCCTCGTCCCCACCCCAAGCCGCCCGACAAAGTCACCTGGCCGTCTAGAGCAGGCACACAGCAGTGCCAGGACTTGTGTCAACAGACTGCTGACACCATGTCAGGCGGTTCAGGAGCAACTCAGTATCCCACCAGACGTCACACCATGTGACGTGAGCAAGTCAGCCCATTTCCCAGAGCAGGCAACTGAGGTTTGGGAAAGGAAAGGTGACGCCCAAGGCTCTCCAAGAAGGCTCTGCATGTCTTCTGGGGTCTCTGCAGCAAAGTGATCGTTCTACAAACATTTGCTGAACCCAGATTTTACTCTGCCCAAGGAGAGTAGGCAGGAGGTCCGAGTCCAGAGGGCGGAAAAGGGCAGTGGTCCATGGTCTGAGGGGCTTGCACAAAGGATGAGTTGCCCTTTTGAGAAGGTGTCTCCTGGCCTTGACGAAGGGCCCACCCCGCCGGACTGGGCAACGTCCCTGAATCGGCATCAGTCCCAGGAGGCAGCTTGGCAGATTGGTTGTTGGGTGTCACTTACTGGTGGGGTGACCTTGGGCATGTCACTGAAGGAGTTTGGGAGATGCCACCCAGATATGCTGCTTTTGTGTGCTGATTACTTCAAATGGAGGGCACTTGGGCGACAGCAAGTGTGGCAGGGACTTTCTCTGCCCTCCCTCATCTGCCTGAATTGTCAGGAATCCCCTCCCGGGAATCTTATCATCCCCGAAAGATTAGCTTGTTGACACCAGACAGACTGTCACCTATTCTTCTGAGGGCTACTCCAGACAGTTTGATTACCTGAGAGACTTTTTATCTGTACAGCAAGACGACCTTTACTCTTAGTTCCTCCCCTCACCTCCATAGTTGGTGCTGCCAGAGCCAGAAGCCCCCGCCCCTGGCCCTTTCCTGCTGTTCAGGATGGGACCCCTCTTGGAGTCTCCTATCTCATGGGTCTCTGTGCCTGCCTGTATAATTAAACATGCATATGTAATTCTCCTGTTAGTTGGCTGATATGTCCACTTAATACCTAGTGCAGCCAAAGAACCTAGAAGGGTGAGCGGGGTCGCTTTTGCTCCCCTATATCACTTAGCCACCCTCTGCCTCAGTGTCCTCATCAGCAAAATGGGAGTAATACAAACTGCCAACCTCACCGGGTGGTTTGTGGGGAGTGAAAGAGTAATCGCATATAAAGCACTAAAGAGTGTCTGGTATGTAGCGAGTGCCATTCAGTGTTTGGCTTTTGTCTTCAGTGGACAAAGATTAACTGAGCACTCTGTGTCCAGTCCCATTCCAGACTGTGAAACCACAGAGGTGACTAAGACATGGACTGCCCGTGCGGAACTTGGGGTGGCAAGATAAGAGGAACAGACCTGACCAGGCAGAAGACTGTGTCGAAGCCCTGGGAGTGTAGCAGGTGTGTGGGCTCTGGTTGGGACCTGTGACAAGGGAACTGGGTCTGTAACGGGTCCACCAGCCAGAAGGAACAGTGAGCAGAGGCTGGAGGCGGGAAATTACCGAAGTGGAAGCTTTCAGGAAACAATGCCCGGGCCTGTCCCCAATCCATCATTGTCATCAGGCTAGTCACACCCAGTGGGCCTTGGGTGGAGAAAAAGATTCCCAGGAATGAATGAAAGAGAGACCCTGAGCTTCGCCAAGCCTGGCTGTCCCCTGTCCATTCAGTTATTCCTTCAGCAGGCAATTCTGGGCCTTTCTTGGGACACTTCCTGCCCTCAGGGAAGCCACAGCTTTATAAGGCTTAGAGGGAAGGGCAGGTGGTGGGGGGCCAGGGGAGAGAGGACTGTCACATCCCTCCCAGGCCCTTATAAAGGGATGTTCCCCAGAGCAGAGCCAGACCTCCTGTCACTTCCACAGCCTGTTGAGCAGGAAATAAAAGTCCAGGGCCCAGGCTGGCCAAGGGGCAGGAGGGAGGCACTCTAGGATCTTGGCCAAGCAGCCCTCCCAGAGCCAGTGGGGCTTTGCTTGGGGTGGGGGTGGAGAGTCTGACAGTCACACCGTGTCCACCCACCCTCCCCTCCCCCACGTTGGTCTAAACAAGGTCCCTCGGGAGGCTAGGGCGACTCAGACTTCAGCTGGATTTTTCCCCAGGGAGGACAGGTTGCAGTTCCCCAGTGGGGCTGGCACTGGTCAGGGTGAGAGGTCGGGCCAGGGCCTTCGGAACTGCTGGCAGTGCCGCTACCCTCACTGGAGTGTTCTCCTCTTTCTCATCTTTCTGGTGGACACCAGCGACAAGTCCAGGCAACAGGAGGCCAGGGCAGCACAGGAGGATGCTGGGGTCTCTACAGATGGGAAGGGCGGGGCCGGAGGGAGGGAGCATGCCCGGCCAGGCCAGGTGTCACTCCCTCACGCTGAGGCCACCTGGCGCCCTGCCTGGGTCTCCCTGTGGGGTCTTCCTGGCCCCACACAGCTGCAGGACCCTCCCACCCTGACCCTGCTGGCTGCCTGCTGGAGCCTCCTGGCCTTCCCTGCCATGCCACCCAGCTTCCCTTCTGCCTGCAGGCTCCTCTCACCCTTCAGGGCTCAACCTCCAACCTTCCCCTCTGGGAGGTCTTTCTTTAGGGGCCTCTCGCGTTGACTCTGGAGGATTCAGTGCAACGCTTGGACAAAGGCTTCCCTCTCCGGAGAGGTAGGGCGCGTCTGTCTTGTTCCGGGTGGCAACTCCAGGGCCTGGACACCACAGGACCTCCACGAAGGATGCTGAAGGGGTCCCCTGCACCAGGACACTTGTCTGGATGGCCGCTTGTGGCTGTCCCTCTGCAGTTTTCTCAGCCTCACCAAGTCCTCTGCCCAGGGCCACCCTGTGGGCTGCTTTGCAGTCATTAACTGCACACTGGGCCAGGGATGCTTCTCCCAGACCTCCAAGGGCTCAGGCCAAGGGCCATCAGCCAAGGTGTGCCCATCTGAGGGAAGAACCGGTGTCCAGCTGGATGGAGGATGGAGGTCACCAGTCTCCCACGGGACAAGCACTGAAGGGGACTTTTTCCTTTCCCACCTCCTAGGGAAGCAGAATCCTGTGAAAACGCCCTGTGTCCTCTCCCTGAGTGAGGACGGATGTACCAGAGGCCAACATGAGAGTCACAAACAGTGGTCATGGAGGGGACAGCCAACTCCTCTCCAAAGAGGTCACTGCCCACGAGGAGTAGGAGAGGATGCTCTCTCTAGTGCCAGACGGCACCACCCATTCCTAGAGTCAGCCCCAGTTCTGTCCCTGTCTGCCCAGTGCTGCCCTGACCACAGAGGGGTCACCTCTGGTAGGCATTGCCACCTGCTGGCTGCCAGCCAATGGCCTGCATGTGAAGATAGCATCATGGACCTTAAATTTAGTTCCAGTCAACACCTGCTGCCATAGCAGGTGTCACACGGGCAGCAATTGTGTCCGTGGTGCTCAGACTTCAAACCACAGGCCTTGGGAGGCCACAGTTGGTGCTCAGGGCTTCTTCCCTTTGGATGTCTACAGACCTCAGTTTCCCTGTAGACCCTTCTTGGCACTGAGGCACTGAGCACGAAGTCTAGACATCAGCATCCCAAACTTAATGATGACAGGGCCTGCTGTGTAAGGATGTACTTTTTTCACTAGATTTTTTTGAGCCGGAGTCTTACTCCGTCGCCCAGGCTTGAGTGCAGTGGCATGCTCCCAGCTCCCGTAGCCTGGACCTGCTGGGCTCAGGCGATCCTTCCACCTCAGCCTTCCAAGTAGCTGGAACCACCGGCATGTGCCACCACACCTCCCTAATTTTTTTTTTTTTTTTTTTGGAGTCAGAATCTCACTCTGTCACCCAGGCTGGAGTGCAGTGGCATGCTCACAGCCACTCCAGTGTCGACCTGCTGGACTCAGGTGATCCTTCTGCCTCAGCCTTACAAGTAGCTGGAACTACAGGCACATGCTACCATGCCCAGCTAATTTTTTGATATATTGTAGAAAGGTCTTGAACCCCTGGGCTCAGGAATCCTCTCGCCTTGGCATTCCAAAGTGCTGAGATTACAGGCTTGAGGCACCACGCCCGGCCAACTTTTTAAAATTT